CCTCCACCCTCTCCAAATCACAACTAGGAAAGGAGTGAAGCCGTTCTTCCTCACACAGAACCCTCCCTTAACCCTAAAAGGGGCTGTGATGAGCACAGGAATGCCATTGCTGTCACACTGGAGCGAAGTCTTGTTTCTGTCTTTCGACACCAGCCGTGGAACAGGAAACCCCTCCTCCCCCCCCCCTCCCCACCCCGAACAGCTGTCCTCCCGAATCTGTGTCGCTTTATCGTCTGAGATATCATTTATTTTTATTAATGCCCTGCCACATCCGCCGTGCACCAGAAGAGCGTCCGGTGGAAAGGCAGGCAGAGAGAGGGGGAGCGAGACGGAGAGGCAGACAGCCCTGCTGAAAGAATCGCAGCTTACAGCAGAAGGTCAAGCGTTCCTGCCTCCCGAATGTCCACTTGCTGTCTGGTTTTAATCCTCCCAGATCACAGGCAATTTGAAAGACATCAGTGGAGCTTTTCTGTCATTCGGCCGCGACCGACACAGGAGGATAGAGCCAGGAAAGCTGTGCAGAACACTGGAAGGATGCGGTCTCCCCATGAGCGAAGACAAATTTTACAAGTATGACCACAGGCCTAAAGCAAAGCAGACAAAGACCCGAAAGGCAGCTGCGGGGATTCTGACGGGGGGAGCCTGAACCACGGCGTTACCGATTCAGACAGAAAAAGCCCAGAACCCGGATGCAGAACCTGGCTCGCGTTCATCATGGCAGCAACTGTACATCTTTGATTTATGAGGTGCAAATTTTCAAGACACAGACACAGGGAGAGAAAAAAATCCTGCCGTTTCCCTTGAACAGGCTGTTGGGGAGGGGGGGGGGGATAAAATAATGGCTTTTAGAGAAAACCCTTGTGATTTGACGTTGCCCAGCCTGTGCCAAAACACACCATGGATTTCCATTGCTTTTTGTAAAATTTACTCTTTTGGGTTCGGTATTCACACACAACTAGAATTTTATGCACTCTCTTGTTATTCAGTGTCCATTTCCACTTTGGCCAATTAAATTATGATTTAACTCAGTGAAGGTAACTGAAACGTCTGCTGCTTGGCACATTATGACTACAAAAACATTTCAGGAGGTGCTTATTGGACAGAAATATAACAGGGATTTTGTGCTGAAATATGTCATCGAAATGTTCTTTCCCCAAGACTTTGGTACCAGTGCAGTCCAAACATCTCAGAAACCACATCCTACCCAGAGTTTCTGCAGATGTTAGGCATCGAATCTGAAAGCCAAGGAAACACTGGGGCAGAATCTGCACAGACAGATACACCTGGGCAAAATATCTCCTTAACTTGACCCCCATTAGAAGGAGATTGACTATCATTTGTGTGAAGAAGGCACCAACAGTCTCCCATCAATGTCCAATGGCTTTGGATTCAGTTTCACTGAGAAAGCTGCCTGAAACAACGACTTCTTCTGCAGCTTTAAACCAGAATATTGTCAATCAAGAGAAAACAGGACAGCGGAAGGCGACAGATCCCTGGACTGCAGAAAGTAAAGACGACCGTTTCCAAGATCTGACATTAGATGAAATGCAGACTACATTCCAGGAAAAAGTAAGCTAAGTCTTCTCGGTTAGTTCTATATTGTTTTAAGCAACGTGATACTCTCAACGTTATAAATAAAGTTGTTTAAAGATATGTGAAGGACTCAATGCTGTTTGTCCGCAGAAGTTTGGAAGTGAGCAGATGTGTGAAACTTTTTGGAATGCTTCCAGAATTTGTTAGAGGACGTGGGCTCTGTAGATTGGCACTAACTGGTGGAATAACATGCTTGCAACAGAGAACAGCTATTAATTAAAGTCTTTGCCCAGAAAATAATCTCCAGAGTAGCCTTGTTAATTACAACTAATTTCGGCAAGGTAGCAAACAACGAAGCCCTCAAATGGCGCAGGTTCTTTCCATGGCAACTGCATGATTTTTGAGTGGATGCATCATGTGACCTTCCGAGGCTCCTCCCCTTGTCAAAGCAGGCCTGAGCTTTTTGTTCTTGACTAAACTAGTTTGCTTGTCCCCTCATTGATTGCACCCTTTTACTTAAAGGGGTCAAGTCTTCATATCCCAGCTCTGATTTTCCCGACGTTGTCGCTTAGCAAGTGGGAGGAACGGGGGGGGGATAATATTGCATTTGATGGCAGATGGATAACATGCTTTGACATGCTGCCTAGGAGAGGCGGGTCAAAGCTGTTTTTGAGGTCAAAACTGAAAACACATGGTGTTCAAACAAAGCAGAGGATGCCTACAACAAATATTTGGGAAAATCCGATAAAGGCAGCCGGAAATTAATGAATCAATCAGAAAAATAAATTAAATATATATCACCCCAAACAAATAGGTTTCATACATGAAAGGCGGCTTCAGTGCATATATGTGCACATTTGTAAGTGTGTGTATTTTTTTTCTGATAGATGAGTGCAAAGTCTAGTGTTGTTCGGCAAGCCTTACAGACCCTTGATGCCGCCCGCAGCGGCTCTGTGCCCGTGAAGGACCTGAAAGTCGTCCTCTGTGACTTCCTGTTTCCCATGAGCGATGAAACTTTCATAGCACTGGGGAGCCGGTAAGAGCGGGGAACTGGGAATGTGAGTGTGTAACTCGCTCACGAGAGCCTTGATTTGTACCAAGTGCTCTTTGTGTCATATGGTACCTGCGTGATGAAACAGGTTTGAGGTCAATGCGACTGGACCGGTGTCATGGAGCGAGTTTGTAGCGTGGGTCTGGGATACGGCCAAAGGGGGGGGGGGGGGGGAGCAGGACGAGCCTGCCAGGTAAGCTTACAGGTTTGTTTGTCCACTGCGGGTAGGGGAATGACCTGACAGGCTGACCTTTCATGTTACACATTTTACACTCAGCCGGCATTTGAAATTAGATGCTCAGTGACAGACGTTAATTTAATCCTTATCTCTCACGTTCTGAATATCTCCTCCTCTCACGGAGAAAGTCCGGTCCAGGAACTTCCTGTGAGATCCACTGCGACCTCAGCCCTACCCAAGCCGACAGAGCATGTCACTTCAGACCAGGTACAGTAAGCCACACAGGGGGGGGGGGGGGGGGGGGAGACCATCCATGTGCCACCTCTGAACGCATCCTCCCAGAATTCCTCAGTTGACAGATTCCTTACTGCAGTCATTTTCAATTATTCTCAACTTTCTCAACGTGCTCTAAAATGCCTACTAAACATTTATAATACATTTCTTAACATTGCATGTCCTACTTTACTGTTAGGTGGGAGGGTGATTTACCTCTGGGGTGTCAAGTTTCCTGGCGCTTAAAAAATAAGTACATAGTGAAAAGATGCCTGACCTGTCATTAATTTTGCTGGTAGACCTGTAACATTTTTCCCTTTGACTTGTAATGCATACGTTTGAAAATACCTCCATTACGTTCCCTAATATGTAGCTTATGGAAAATAGTCTATATTTATTCATGGTTTTATGATCCAAACGCACAACAATAATAGCATTCCAAGTTTTAAACTGTGTGAAGAATATTATAAAAATGGATCACACATTTCTGGTGGATATTTTTAATGGCATAAAAATCACCTAGTGTCTTAATAATCAATTCTATGAGTAACAAATCAAACAGGGATTCACTGAACACCAGCCAGTAATGAGGTTTTCAAGCAGGTCTGCAGCAATCCAATTCTTTATCGGTGCTCTGGGGAGCACAACTGAGGCTTTGAGGACGTGCTTAGATTCACAATGCAATTCAGCGTTTTAATGCTCGGCTAATGCTAAAGTACCTTTAATGTGTCATCTCTCCATGGGGAAGAAAAATACCCCCCCCCCCATTTTATTAATTAATTTCTTCTTCAGAATGACCTACCGTGTTTTGAGAGACGAATCTGACAGGAGCTCCCGCTCTCCGGCGCTGTCTGATTGGCGTCGGGGATGTGGAGGTGTGGGGGGGGGGGTGGTCCCGCCTCTGTTACTCATGGTCCCCGAGGGCTGAAGCCCTGCAAGTTTAAAAGACACTTTTCAATCAACGGCGTGTTGACACCCACGGCTGCTGAGGACTTAACTTCGCTGCCAATCAATGGCGCTAATGAAGCGGCGAGGGCCTGCATTCTCCGCTGCATGCTTCTAGACCTGGACCTTTTTGATCCGTCCACGTCTGTAACACACAAAGACAACCCTCGTCTGAGAGCGTACCTGGCGGGCATGCTGGGTAACGGCATGTGATCGGAATGGCAGGTGGATGAGTTGCCCCCTGGACCTGCCTAATGGGCTAGTAAATGAATTATTTACTTGCTTAGCAAATGCAATTACCAGCAGTGACTCGCTTAGCTCGCAGCCTTGCCCTTCTTTCGATTTATGTGGATATTTACACGCAGTTCGAGTTAAGCGCCTTTCTGAAGGGCAGGCCGGGATCTGCCCTACCGGATGCTATGTGTGCGTGCATCTGCCGAGTCAAGAGGGAGCTTCTTACAGGGGTCCGTGTCTGACAGACGTGCCCCCTGCAGCTCACCGAGCGGGAACAGGAGGGCCGTGTGCGTTTGCCGATTCCAGGGCCGGATGGCGGTCAGCACTAATCGGGGGACCCGTGGATTGTAATGGGGGGTCCTGACACGATTATGCCTCTCTGCCAGGGAAACCAAAAGGGGGGGGGGAGTGTGGCACGGGCGACCTGTCGGGGTGACGAAGACCCAGCAGGGAACACATGGGCCACTGTTAGCTAGCCAGCTGCACAGCTTGTGCTAAACCGGTCTAAGGAGGCTTCCAGTAGGTGTAGATGCACACACCTCTTCAGTTTGCAAGGCTTCATGGGAGTTCTGATCTTTGGGGGTCATGCTGAGTCGGGGTGGGGGGGCATGTGGGGGAATAAAGGGGAACAGGTGTTTCTGGAGGCTGTCATACCCAGCCAGGTGAGACTGGGGAGCCCCTGGGCCTGGATAAGTATCAGAATTATTGTTGGTTTAAATCCCGAAAAGCACCAGAGCAGGGTCCTTACCCTGGGCGGCACCAAGACGTGTTAAGCAGTAAAACACAGGTAAAGCTGTCAGAAACTTAAGTCGGCGTCTCAAGGCATCAACATCCATGAATACTTGTTAGCCAACGGGGGCGGTCTTCAGAAGGACGCTCTCGCTGAAGGTCCGGAGGTGGGTGAGCATTTCAGCCTTTAGCGACCAGTGCTAATAAAAGCAAACGGTTTGAGTGACAGACACCTCACATAAATGCTGAAGGGGTAACCATGCATTTCCTGCACCACTTTGCCTTCGCCAGTTTCTGCATAATCGTAGGAACCTTCTGGATCAGAATCAGATTCACACCCTTGCAGAAGCCCTGGGTTTTAGAGACGGAATAGTCCCCCACTCTGAATGCAGGGCAAACCTCAAAGGTAAGACTTAAATTGCTCCTTAATAATGCCCATACAGATTGAACTAGTTTAACTAGTGTAATTTAACCTGGTCATATGAATGAGGACAAAGATTTCCTGTGTATAATGCAGCACAACCGTTTATTCATACTAAGAGTGTTATCTACCGATAACTATGGGTAACCACTTAGTTTGATAATAATCAAATAATTATAATAATCTTGACAATTCTGTTTATTCTATTAAAAAACTTTTGGGAAAAAAAACTATTTCACTTGAACAAACTTTGGAGGAATTATTTTTAGTTGTTAAAAAAGTAGCCCTCCCTCATTAGTGTTGAATTAAGTGTGGAACACAAAATAAATTTTTTGATTTTCTATCTAATTACGAGACGTACCTCTGAAAGCTGCAGGAGAACAGCGGCACATCGCTGTAATTTGTGTCGTCTGCAACCATGATGAAAAAGAACAGACTCCTTAAGTTTAAGTTGTCTGCAGAAATGAAATACTGTTTTAGGATTCAGACCTCTGAATTGTAATTTACCGAACATTGTGTAAAGCTATAATTAAACGTGTGAATGCAGCAGCTATCATTAAGGGATGTGTGTAAACGACTTTATTTGGCTGTAACTTTACACGCTAGGGGTTTTTAAACAAGGGAACAGAACAGAACCTTTTTTGTCTGTATAAAGAGACGTACTTGACTGTGATGGGCATGGTTCTAGTGGAGAAATGGTGGGGTGGATGAGGGGGTAGCTGAACTCGTGTTCCGGTTCCTTCCCTGGCCATGCTAAATACCTGTCAGCTGACGTGCAGCTTGAAAGACGTCAACTGGAACAGAACTTGAAAGATACTTCATTAGAGAAGTTAAAAAGAAGCCTAAGGTCAGCCAAAGATGTATGTCACGGGATAAATCCCCGTTTTAAAACTGGTTAAAACACACAGGCCAAAATACACTTAGCACTGGTCAGAAGATGTGTTTTCTGCAGAGACAGTTGCTTGTTAATTACTCCGGAGTAAGACAGCATGTCACCGAGAGGAGTCCGTGTGAAGTGACTGTGTTTGGCACAGATAGTGCGGCCACACGGTACGTCGGCACGAGCACCGATCCCGTCGGCTTCCTGACAGCGGAGGAGTGCTTCTCGCAGATGAAAGAGCGGATCAAGGCTTTCCATGGGGTAGGAGCAATCTTAACTAAATTACAAACAGTTTACTTTCAAGCTTCTGCTTGTTGTGAAATAATTATCTCTCTTCGGCTGATATAAAGGAATAAAGAAAATTTTAAGGCAATTAAAAATTAGAATGACAATGCAGGACGTGAATCGCTGCTCCACGGCTGAACACTTAAGAGGGAACACTATATCTGTGTTTTCAAAAAACCGCTAGAAAAAAATCAAGGGAAAAATAATGATTTCCCAAAAATAAACAACAGTCCTCTCTGATTAAACCAGGCTTCAAACAGAGCAGCCCAGGTGTTTGCTGAATCGGAAATCTATAGCTGTACGCAGGTTCGAGTGCACGGCCTCGTTCACTCAGAATGGTGGGGCTGTTTCCAGGATGTTTTCACAGCCTTTCGGGTCATGGACAAGAACCGTGATGGAGTCATCAGCGGGCAGGGCTTCAGGAACCTGCATGACAGCTTGATGTTCGTAACCAAGGAGACAGAATACAGCCGGCTGCTGGACCTGCTGGGCCTCAGGCCCGGCGCCACGCTCAACTACGCCGAGTTCAACAGCCTGGTCCAGGCAGGCGCCAGCACAGCAGCTCTCCCACATCCTGCCACCAGGTAGGTCCGCTGTGTTAAACTGACCAGCAGGGGGCGTTGCGAGTAAAGCCCTATAGCTGTTGGTTCCAGTCCCAGAAGAAGTGTGAATTATTTTAGCAACGATATCCATCACTATAGTATAAATCAATATGTGAGGTAAGGTCCAGCCATGCCTGACTGTAGACTGTTAAGCTGTCTGATGTCTTATAAACTTAACTAGTACTAGTCAACGATGGTTTGTATACAGTAGCAGGGCTGCTAGACAGAACGAGTCACAGAGACTATGAAACTAACTGTGCCATAAACGCCTCTGTTGGAGTAATCTCGTTATTGTCACACCCTGCTTCACCACCAACTGCTGTCAGCAAATAAACAGAGTGAAGGTTCACAGTCTGGATCATGGAGCCAATTACAAGCAGTTAATTTGCCCTTGGACATCACTTGCAGTGCATGCGGTACAGGAATGCGACGTCTCAGTCTGTCTGCTGCTCTCGTCTACTTCACACAGACCGAAACGGGCTATCCTGGAAACCTGCGACCAGGTCCTCGGCTACCTGGCCTGTAAAGCTCGCTGCGGATGGCCGAACATGGCAAAGGTCAGAGGCATTCCGTGAAAAGGCTGACACAGGGATCGTAGAGCAGCAGAGCTAACAGGCGTCGAGAGTCAGTAATACAGATGGGGATGGGATCTCCACAGGAAGGGTCCGAAATCCACAACACGCAACGTTAAAATATATACAGTTAAAAAAAAATACAGTAATGTACAATAGTCTTAGGCTGTGAAAGGAAATGTTTAAAGTTATTTATCTGTGTGATAAGTGCATATTTGCAAAGGAAAAAAAAGACAATTTAACTTAGAACATTAATTAACAGCAACACAATAAAAAAAAGAATTTCCTCTGTTCTCCAAAAAGTTACTGATATCTTGCAGGATGGCTAGATGATCACCACTCCAAACCTCTCCTCAGCGGCAACCGAGCCATTCCATGGATTTGTTAAATTTTACCACCAGCTCACTTAATTAATTTAATTTGTTAAATAACTCAGCGAGGTATTGATTAGCCATTCGAGGTGTGCTAGCGATCGAGTATATAGGATGTTTACTGGAGTGATTTTCGGAGAGGTTTTGAAATGGCTAATCATTCACGCCAACATGGAGACCATTTAACCATCATCATCTTTGACTGCCTATGGCTTTTTCTCGGTACGGTATATGATGGCACCTTACATTTTGCTTCAGGTTTCAACTTTTCACTGAGCTGTGTTGTGATATGACTCGATACAGTCACATGTCCCTAACAGCAGTGAAATCCAAATGACAGCACATCTGTTTCGGTGCAGGTGCTGTGTCACTTTGATCGGAATGGACAAAGCATCATTTTAAAGCAGGACTTCAAGCATCTCCTGTACACCTACGCTATGCCCTTTACACCAAACGAATTTGACCAGCTGTGGCTGAGGTGATTTGTTCAACGCCCTAGAAATGTACATCTGACTTCAGCAGGGATCTTTGAATTTTCGGCTCTGGTTGTGGGGGGGTGACAGGTATGATGAAGGAAGGAGGGGCTACATCAGGGAGGCGGAGTTTCTGGAGAAGATGGGCGTGGGTCCCAAGAAGGCGAGTCGTGGCCCCGAGCAGCTGTCCCCAGGAGAGTGTGCAGATGAGGGTCCTCGGGACGGATCAGCCCATGCCAGTGCCCAGGCACTCCACACCAGGGTCGCACTTCATGAGCTCCGGTGAGCAGGGAGGCCTCACACTGTCATCACCAAGCTGTTATGACACTCGCCGATGTCACAGCCACTGAGAATTTAAGTTATTGAGTTATTACTGCAGTGTTTCCCAACCTGGTCGTTGGGGATCCACAGATGTCTTTGATCT